TCGGTTTAGGCAACTCTTGCTGTATCATGCTGCGCAAATGGCTAACCTTCTTGCTGCTAGCCAGCCTGGCCAACTGATCGGCTCTCATGTTGAGTTCTCGAGGCGTGTGTTTGACTTGGACATTTTCAAAATCTGCTTTCAGCTTATTGAACGCGTGGAAGTACAATAAAAGCGTTGGTTCCTTGATTTGAAAAGTACCGTTTACCTACTTTGTTACCACTTTCGAGTCGCTCCAGCACTGCACTTTAGGGATGCCTAAATCCTTTGCCAACCATAGGCCTGCAGAGTAGTTAAGACCGAGCTCGCTGGGGGGAGGCGACCTCTCGCGTACGCTTGCTCATTGTGGTGACATGTGTCGCGACTGTTCATTTCCCGGAAACGTGCGAGTGGCGTGTCATGGGAAATGATGGTTACACAATGATGAATTTGCAATTAAGTGTGTTGTCAGGCGTGCCCTTAGGTTGACACGTGGTGTGGCCGTTTTGAATTTTTGGGAGAAAACTTTCTTTTCTCTCACTCGCGCCTCTTTGCTTCTTACTTTGCTCAATATTTAAAACAAATAGGGCCTTATTTGGCTTTGGCCCATTTTCATAAAAAATATAGAGTGGTGCTCACTTTGTATCTCAAAACATGTAAATTTTGAGAACTATTTAATTGGGTTAGATTGTTACATGGAAAAATGAAAGCCGCTGCCCTCTTCCTTGTTTCTACGTCCATTTTCATTGTTTTTGTTGCTGTATATCTGAACTCGTTAAACATGATGAGTTGATGCATGTATAAAGACCTTAATTTATTGAAGAATTAATAAAAGTGAATTCATGACTTTGTTGCTCATATATTTTTTAATTTATTTTTAACTCACTAACATGGGTCTTGTTTTTCAACATTTTCTCTATAATATAACTAAATTGGTTTAATATTTGAGTATCTAACTAAGTTGTTTAGTGGGATTTTAGTCTTTGAGCTGCTACATGTTTGAGCTGGGGCTGGGCCGAATTTGCCTCGCCGTGCCCCACTTTTATTATTATTCTATCATTTCTTCTTTTTCCTAATTTTGTTATTTTTATTTTATTGTTTCTCTTGCTTTTTTCCTTCCTTTTCAAAACTGTATTATTTTGGTTTATTATCAAGAAGTATTTTCTGTCAAATATAGAAATAATCTTTTTTGAAGGCTCGACAGACAAATAAGTAAACATCTCCTCTTAACTTACTTTTTCATAATTATATATATAAATTAAGTGAATAACAAAAATCTTATAAGAAAATCTCATATATTAAAATTTTAAAAATAAAAATGTAATATATAAATAGTCATTAAGATAAATGATAATCTATTAATTTAACAGATTGATTCTTATTTTATTTATTTCCAATTTAATTGCGATTATGTTATTGATTTATTTATTTCCAATTTTATTTTACTTTACTTATTTCCATTTCATTTGAATATTTTGATAAATATTCACATCAATCGAATAATAATACAATCACAAGTACTAAAGCATCAGCCAAAATGTTCATGGTAGACAAGACCAAATACCAAATGCTCCACAAGTCCAGATTTCTTTCCACCATGCGCAGGACAATGACATCGGTCATGAGGTAGGACAAAATGCACACAAGACTCGGATGAAACCTATATATAGTATCTTTTTTTTCAACAAAAAAAATGACATCCTAGTTAAAATTAAGTCAAAAACTAATATATTAGACTAATCTTTCGAAATATTATCATTTATTTAAAATTAACATATGCTAAAATGACAAATCATTTCATATCTTATTATTAAAGATATGATAATTATTTTTAAAAAATAAAAATTACAGTAATAACAACTTGAATTTAGGAATTTATATATACTATTTCAAGTAAACAAATAGACTGATTGTAATAATCGAAAGATATGATAATTGACGTACAACATGTTTAGCTACAAATTCGGAAACTTACACTAGTATAGAATATACATTTTACGTCGGTCATTTTAGGGAGTTTTACATCGAAAAAAGATGCAACATAGAAGCAGAAGACGTAAATTTATGTCGGGACGCGAAAACGACGTAAATTTACGTCGGACATTACAAGGTCCGACGTAAAAAGTTGTAAAAAATTAAAATAAAAAAAAAGAAAAAAAGAAAAATGACTGCAAGCAGAACGGGCCGTTCTGGTTGGAGAATGGCCCATTCTCCGTGCAGAACGGGTCGTTCTGAAACCCAGACTTGGCTTTTCTTTTGGCTTTTCCTCCTCCTTATTTTCCTCTGCTGGTTTTTCCTCTGGCTTCTCTTCTCTGGTCCTTAGAACTCAACTTGACATCATCATTTCCAGCATCTAAAATCACAAACAGAAAAATTAGAAGACGTAATAAAAACCACACCTCTTGAAGATGTAGCATCTAGATCAACTATCAAGGCACAAAATGTAATAAAAACAAAAAAAGTAAGTCTAAAAAATTAGAAGGCAGAGGCAAGCGTAGAAGGGAAGCAAGAAGAAGGAAATATGAAAGAACTCTTCCAATTAGATGCTGGAATCGTGGTAGCAAGAAGAAACGTAGAAGGGAAGCTGCTTGCGTTGAGCGGCGTATACTGCACATACCTCGGACCCCTGTTGTTATTCTTCTCACAATCATTGACTTCCCGGGGTCGAGACTTAGGAGGCTCCTTGTCATTCTCTCTTTTCCCGAGAAACAGGTCAGATCGGTTCTGGTTGCGGAACTCGGCCAGTTCCTCCATCTGCATATATTTGGTGGCCCTTTGCCGTAGGTCGTTCAAGTCATGGGGGGGCTCCTTTGGCCGAGAAGGTGTGTTCGGCCCGTCCTCCAGCTGAAGGGGTGGTGTGTTTTCGTCGGCTCGGGCACCCCTTTCGGCCTATTGCCTGACCGAAGGGGTGCCTCCTAGTACAATATTTATTATTTTATTATAACTAATTTGTAAATACATAAGATCATACAATTATTTAAAATTTATATACACATAAATATTGTCATAAAATTATTAATTTGAGGAATTTTATTATAATTTAAAAATTATTTTACATTTATTTGAATTTCAATAAAAAATGGTATCCAAAATTTTAATATTTGAAAAAAAAAACTAGTTAGAAAAATAAATATAATAAATGAGAGAAATTAAAATAAACAATTGATTTAGATTTTTTTTAAGCATTTCAACCCCAAATTAATATAAGAGACTATTTATGAAATAAATGTTTTTACAAACATTGCAAATCCATCCTCAATACTCTTCACCACCCTACCTCCTCCATCTCCGGCATTTGACATTTTGTGTGGCAGTGGTGACGCTTGGGATATAATTCTATTCATGTTATCACGCTTACGACCAAATTTCATAACAAAATCAAATAAATCACATAATGAAAAAATCGCTCGAATAAAACTGTGAAAATTGATTGAATAATAATCAAAATTAGAAATGGTTCATATAAGATTATAGATAATTCGTTGAAGTAGGAGGCCTTGAGGCTTTGAGTCATAGTTTTAAAAACTGGACCGGTCATCGAATCGGTTAAGGTATTGGGTCAGTGGGTCAAAGGTTGAACCGGTGGGTCACTGGTTGAACCGCATGACTTGATTTTTATTAAAAAATATTCATATTAAATATATTTATACTTATAAATTTTAATAAATTCATATCTTATTTTAAATTTAAATTTTTCTATCTTATTTAAAATTATTTTTATTTTTATTTTGTAAAAAAATACATAAAAAAATTACATGTTAAACGGTATATTAATACAAATTAAAAATATAAATAATATGTACATATATAATATGCTTGCAATTAATATCACAAAATAATATATGTAATATTTACATAGATATTGAATTATTAAATATATAATTTAAAATTAATAATATACTATAAAAGTTATTTAAGTTGTATATATTGCAAACAAATATATTAGAACAAGTAGTCATTGTTATATTTAATAAGACTCCTTGCTTTTTCATTAAGAAATTCAATTTTCATTATTATTTTTGTAATTTATGGTCCCTTAAAAAAATTTAAAAAAAAAAAAGTAGTTGAACCGGTTTGACCCACCGATTCATCGGTTGAACCAGAAAATTGACCGATTCAATCCAGTTTGAAACGGATCGACTGCATAACCGATCCAACTTCAGATTCGGACCGGCTGGACCACCGATTCCCGGTCCAACCGGTCCGACCGACCAGGTCGGTCCGGGTTTTAAAACACTGCTTTGAGTCCTTTTATTTGAATTGTGGGGCTTATCATTAGGTTCATGTAAGCTTGAATTAATCGTCAATTACCTTTTGGAGTTTGCGATATGGATAGAAGGCTCAAGCCAATGATTTCGTTTTCTTTTTAATTTTTCAACTTGGGCATAAGTAGCAGCACTTTGGGTGATATTTAGGTTGTTTTTTTTTTAAATCATAATTATAATTATAACATGTTCAAGGTAATGTGATTATGTAACTATAATCACAAGATCAACATAGTGATAAAGAGTTTGATATAATATATACAAAATTTTAAATTTAAATTTTGAAATTAGATATTTTTATTATAATTTTGATGAATAAAAAAATAATTATATAGTTATTTTAACTTATTTTTGAAAATTTTCTCCCAAATTTAGTTTTAAATTTTTCAATAAAGATTATAAGAGCATAATTACAACCAAAGTGTGACTATTATGAAAATTTCTAGTAACTTTGTGGCAGTCATTAATGATATTTTGATAATTTAGTGTAAGAGGTAAAAATCTTGTACTTAACTTTTAAAATATCTCCGGTTGATTCACGTAATGGAAAAACATTTCTACATAAAAAACTTGCAGCTAATTAGATAACACAATAAAAATAACAGTTTAATCGTTAATGTATAAATTCCCACAATGTAAATTAGAAATCATTTATATTAAGTTATTAGATTTTAAAATTGTGATTTATGTCATCATAAAGTCGATATGTCCGAGTGGTTAAGGAGACAGACTTGAAATCTGTTGGGCTTCGCCCGCGCAGGTTCGAACCCTGCTGTCGACGTTTTTAATTCTTTATTTTTCCGTGTATTACTTCATTATTTTTGGCGTCAATCATCTTCACCTGCGATTCAATTCAACGTCTCGAACTGAAACCCCATTATTTTTGGCGTCAATCATCTTCACCTGCGATTCAATTCAACGTCTCGAACTGAAACCCCAGCGTGGTAGAGCAATGCTCTCTGAAGGATTCGAGGACGAAGAGAAATGGCTCGCGGAAGGGATCGCCGGAATTCAACACAACGCATTCTTCATGCATCGCGCGCTTGTATGTATTCTCTTCGCACCGCACATTCTTCCTTTTCCGTAACCATAACCTAATTTCTCTTATCATTCACGATTTCCTCTCACAGGACGAAAACAATCTCAGAGACGCTCTCAAATACTCCGCGCAGATGCTATCGGAGCTTCGAACTTCCAGGCTCTCACCGCACAAGTACTACGACCTGTGTAAGTAAAACGTTACTCGCTTATTCGCGTTTTGTGTAGTAATAATAGCACTTCGAGCTTCTAGGTTTTCCTTTCAATTATTCACTTGGATTTGGCTTTGTTCCCTTCGTTGTGCCTCAGATATGCGAGCCTTCGACGAGCTTCGGAGGCTGGAGATTTTTTTCAAAGACGAAAGCAGACACGGCGTTTCCATTGTTGATCTCTACGAACTTGTTCAGCACGCCGGAAATATATTGCCTAGACTGTACGTGTTTTTTGTGCTAGTAAAGAGAGGGACGAAGGGAGAAGTAGTAGGAAGGAGGAAATCCTAACCACTAACTCAACGAGAACAGGAGGAAGGCTCTAGAATCGTGGTGAGTGGGGAGTTATATGGGGAAATTTACGTCGGACAAGGGTGAATGGATTTCAACTACACTTCTACACTTCCCTTCTACGTTTCTTCTTGCTACCACGATTCCAGCATCTAATTGGAAGAGTTCTTTCATATTTCCTTCTTCTTGCTTCCCTTCTACGCTTGCCTCTGCCTTCTAATTTTTTAGACTTACTTTTTTTGTTTTTATTACATTTTGTGCCTTGATAGTTGATCTAGATGCTACATCTTCAAGAGGTGTGGTTTTTATTACGTCTTCTAATTTTTCTGTTTGTGATTTTAGATGCTGGAAATGATGATGTCAAGTTGAGTTCTAAGGACCAGAGAAGAGAAGCCAGAGGAAAAACCAGCAGAGGAAAATAAGGAGGAGGAAAAGCCAAAAGAAAAGCCAAGTCTGGGTTTCAGAACGACCCGTTCTGCACGGAGAATGGGCCATTCTCCAACCAGAACGGCCCGTTCTGCTTGCAGTCATTTTTCTTTTTTTCTTTTTTTTTATTTTAATTTTTTACAACTTTTTACGTCGGACCTTGTAATGTCCGACGTAAATTTACGTCGTTTTCGCGTCCCGACATAAATTTACGTCTTCTGCTTCTATGTTGCATCTTTTTTCGATGTAAAACTCCCTAAAATGACCGACGTAAAATGTATATTCTATACTAGTGTAAGTTTCCGAATTTGTAGCTAAACATGTTGTACGTCAATTATCATATCTTTCGATTATTACAATCAGTCTATTTGTTTACTTGAAATAGTATATATAAATTCCTAAATTCAAGTTGTTATTACTGTAATTTTTATTTTTTAAAAATAATTATCATATCTTTAATAATAAGATATGAAATGATTTGTCATTTTAGCATATGTTAATTTTAAATAAATGATAATATTTCGAAAGATTAGTCTAATATATTAGTTTTTGACTTAATTTTAACTAGGATGTCATAAGAACGTCCCGTTCTGCACGGAGAATGGGTCGTACTCCAAGCAGAATGGCTCGTTCTGCACGGAGAATGGGTCGTTCTCCAAGCAGAACGGCCCGTTCTGAAACCCAGACTTGGCTTTTCTTTCGGCTTTTCCTCCTCCTTATTTTCCTCTGCTGGTTTTTCCTCTGGCTTCTCTTCTCTGGTCCCTAGAACTCAACTTGACATCATCATTTTCAGCATCTAAAATCACAAACAGAAAAATGAGAAGACGTAATAAAAACCACACCTCTTGAAGACGTAGCATCTAGATCAACTATCAAGGCACAAAATGTAATAAAAACAAAAAAAAAAAGTGAGTCTAAAAAATTAAAAGGCAGAGGCAAGCATAGAAGGGAAACAAGAAGAAGGAAATATGAAAGAACCCTTCCAATTAGATGCTGGAATCGTGGTAGCAAGAAGAAGCGTAGAAGGAAAGCGTAGAAGTGTAGTTCAAATCCATTCACATACTCAAAGTAAAGAGAGGGACGAAGGGAGAAGTAGTAGGAAGGAGGAAACCCTAACCACTAACCCAACGAGAACAGGAGGAAGGCTCTAGAATCGTGGTGAGTGGGGAGTTATATGGGGAAATTTACGTCGGAATATATATATATATTGTTTATGACCAAATGCTGATGCTCGTGGTTATTATTTGAACTTGAATGATTGTGCGGCTTCAATTTTTGTGACGTTAATTTACTGCCAGGTATCTCCTTTGCACGGTGGGATCAGTTTACCTGCGATGCAAGGATGCTCCGGCAAGGGATGTTCTTAAAGATCTAGTGGAAATGTGTCGCGCTGTGCAGCATCCAATTCGGGGTCTATTTTTGAGGAGTTACCTTTCTCAAATCAGTAAGGATAAGTTGCCTGATATTGGCTATGAACGTGAAGAGGGGTAAGGCTATTGTTTGGTTGTGAATGGGGATGAATTGATAGTTTTTGAATGTCTTGTCCATGTTTTATTTGAATTTAGAGTAACGGTTTTTTCTTTTGACCGACAAATTCAGAGTAATGTTATATCCTCCTGCTATAATATTATCCTAGTAATCTTCCTAATACTTTATAAAGAAAAAAGTACATGAAAAACATAGATGTATTTAATGTCTTGAAACGGAAAAAAAGTTCAAATACTTTCTTCTTGTAGCGAGTTGGAGGATTAGTAGGAGAACGTTGAAGGAGGATTTAGAATTATTCCTTAATTTACTAGTAGGTAGTAATTAGAAAGTCATTTTTTTTTTCAATTTAATTCCTATGTCTTTGGTTTCAATTTCCAATGTGGAAAATTATATTTTGGTATTATGTTTGGGACTGGGTGAACAAGAATTAAAAGAATGAAGATTGAAAGGTGCCTCTGTTTTCCTGCAGGGAATCTAATGGTGTGATGGATGCAGTTGAATTTGTTCTACAGAATTTTACAGAAATGAATAAGCTTTGGGTTCGGTTGCAGCAGCAACAGGTTGGTTGAACTTATTTAACTCTTTTCTAATCTTATCTTATGAGATGCATAGCACCACAGTACTTGCATGCCATAGCCATAGAGGTAAAAATAAATCATGAAAACATGATTTCTGGCCATGCAGGTGTTATGGTGCTTGTGAATCATGCTTAATCTTTGGCGATCCTGAGCTGAGGTCTTCAATTGGGATTTCTGGTCTGCAGGGACCCAGTCGGATAAGAGAGAAGAGGGAAAAGGAAAGGAACGAGCTTCGTGATCTGGTAACATAAAATACAATGCTATCTCCTGATGAAGCTGTGTGTTGTACATTTTGATAGATAAGTTATGTAATTTCCTTTTATCAATTTATTAGGTAGGGAAGAATCTACACGTTCTGAGTCAAATTGAGGGTGTGGACCTTGGGATGTACAAAGACACCGTCCTTCCAAGTGTCTTAGAGCAGGTCTAATAAAGTACATTTCTCTCCAAAATATAATTTTTCTCTTATTGTAACCCTTGATGTTATAATGTCTCTCACCTATCTAAATTGGCTTGAGCAGGTTGTCAACTGTAAAGATGAGCTTGCCCAATTTTATCTTATGGAGTGCATAATACAGGTTTTTCCAGATGAGTACCATTTGCAGACACTTGAGATACTGTTAGGTGCTTGCCCCCAATTGCAGGTGGGTAACACAATTAGATTAGAAATAGATGACCTTTAATGTGCTTGGGATTTTAAAAATTATATTAGTGGTGACTGGTCAACCTTGTAGAGGCCTAATATACTAGTGATTTTAACTCTTTGTTGTTATTATATCAAATCCCTTTTTAAGGGTTTGTCTTACAAATATCAATGGGAAACACATTATAATTGCTCCTGCCAAGGTTAAATAGCTTGTGAAACTCCATGACTTATGAATAGTTGATCATACATTTATTGGTCACAAATTTAGGCAATTTGGAATGGTGACTAGTAGTGCATAAAAAAATTTCAAAAAAAATTAGACTTTGATAACACCTTGAAATTGAATTAGTGCATAAAAAATTGCACATGATGTGATTAATCACATTTGGACATACTTGGTGTATTTATATAAAGAGATTTTAAGAGTCAATGTGATTTCTAAGACTAACAAAATAAAATACTTTGTTTGGATACTGAACAAGTGAATTTTAAAATCTCTAAGCCTTTGGTTGAGCATAAAACAAGGATTTTGAAATTCTTCCTATTGAAGTGGTATTTCAAAAATACTTCAAGAATTGACTGGACTGTCTTCTTTCTTTCATAGTCCTTTAAGTTTCATCATGGTCACTTCACCTATGTACCTTTTGTCTGAGTCTGCAGCATGTGTTCAAACAGCTCCATAACTAAAGTTGAAATTGATACATCTTTTCCACGAATTTTTTTTTTTCAGAATTTATTTTCATTTTATGCATTGGATCTTCAAATTCCATTGTTACCCAACTCAGTACCTGCTGAAATTATCTCTTTCTCCATCTCTCTATCTACCTTCAATGCATATTGTATTATTTTGTACTTATCTCAACTCATCATCACCATTGATTCTGGCTTCATGCTATTAATTCACGTGATCAATGAATTATCATACATTTGCTATGCCAACCAATCATTTGCAAAATTCCTAGTCCAGCTATGGAAGCTGTAAAACTATTTACTTATAATTATCATCGTTGTTTTTGAAAATTATTATTGTTCACTTTGTTATTAACCAATCATCATTATCACTATCAATGTTGTTGAAAAGTTGTTTGAGATGCTTGAGAGAGATGAACATCATGGACAACAATAATTGATGGGTATGTGAAGAATGATAATATTGGTGCAGGTGTGCAGCTTCTAATCATCATCATGAAGGGAATTCCAATTTCACTTCTAGTTACCCAGACACATATTATCAAATGAAGAAAAATAAATTGATGAAATTTGATTTTCTGAAGATTTATAATTTCCCATCCAAACACACCCTTAATATATTTTTTGTTTCTTACTGTATCTGGATGGTGGTAGGTTTCCTTACCCATGATAAAAATTTCCATCCAAACACAACCTTAGTTTCCTTGCATGTATGAGGATTCTATTATAAGTAAAGAGTGTAGCAACACAAAAGTTTCTCACACATCAACTCTGTTCTATTATATTTATCTCTGATTTTCTTGAAGCTGAAAGCCATTTTTATCCCCTCTTTATGACTTGGTTGTATTTGCAGCCCACAGTAGACATCAAGACAGTGTTATCTCAGTTAATGGACAGGTTGTCAAATTATGCTTCCTCAAGTACTGAAGTAAGTCTAATGCACCTTTTGTCAAAAATTAGGCTTCCATGTGTTGTTGATATCATTTCTGCCTCAGGTATTGCCTGAATTTCTGCAAGTGGAAGCATTTACCAAATTAAGCACAGCAATAGGCAGGGTAAGCCAGATTTCCTTCAGTTTGCAACTTCTAGTCATACTTGTTTTGGGAGAACTACAGAAAAGGAAGTCCTGATAAAGTTATGGACAATGAAGGAACTAAATGTGATGATATCGCCCAAAGGCTGTTTCCCCTTCATGATAAATATTTTAACTTTGATTGTTAAGTACATGTAGACGTAGTGGTACCTTTTGACATTCCTTTAGCATGGATTTCTGTACTAGCCTTTCTTTCCCTTGTTTTAGTTTTTTTGAGTTCATTTGTCTAAAAGTAATTTGGATCAAAGGTTAATCTTCATGGTTGTGCTAGCCTGCTAGGTGTAACTCATAAAGCTGAGGCTATAAAATAAGGCCATCCCGGTTCTCTTTTGGTTCATATTTATAACCCCATCCAAAAATTCCTTTGTAGATCCAGAAACCTGTACTTGATGGTTGATTTTCTATGTAATAGGATTGGTCCTTTTCAACTTTATGAGCAAAACCAAATATCAATTATAGCCATTTATTTGATAGGAAAATAGTACATAACAGAAAGGAATGATATCCCTTTTTTGTCTTCTAAATACTAGTTATACCTTTTTTTTGTATGGACTATGGAGCTGGCATCCAAGACTATATAATCTGCATTTGACTGCAGGTTATAGAAGCACAAGTTGACATGCCTCTAGTGGGAGCAATATCTTTGCATGTTTCTCTACTTACATTTACTCTCCGTGTTCATCCAGATCGGCTTGATTATGTGGACCAAGTACTGGTATGTTGCTTTTCAAACATCACAACCTCTTTCTAAGCTACTTTTTTTATGAGACGTGGTATGGACAGGATTTGGATCTTAGCTAAGATGCATCTTTTCTGCAATTTTTGCAGGGATCATGTGTTAAGAAACTTTCTGGAAAACCAAAGCTCGATGACAATAGAGCAACAAAGCAAGTTGTTGCACTTTTAAGTGCTCCACTTGATAAATACAATGATATTGTGACTGCTCTGACACTGTCCAATTATCCTCGAGTAATGGATCATCTTGATCATGAAACAAATAAAGTCATGGCCATGGTTATTATCCAAAGCATTATGAAGAATAACACTTACATCTCTACTGCTGATAAGGTATATTACTTTGCTTTTGGCTCAACATAACAACTTTATCTCTATGTAACAGTGTTCAATATGGCCTTGCAGGTTGAAGTTTTATTTGAATTAATAAAAGGGCTTATAAAGGACTTGGATGAAACAACTGAGGATGAGGTGTGCTAGAGACTATTGTTAATATCTTGGGATTTTGTTTATAAGGATACAAATGTTTATGTAACCTGTTATTTTTGTATTATTATTTTACATTTCTTTATATGCCAAAGCAATAAATAATCTATTATTGCCTACATAAATATAGTATTTGCTCAAGATCAACCCAGTTTAAATATTTTTCCATCTTATCTGTAGGTTGATGAAGAAGATTTTAATGAGGAACAAAATTCTGTCGCTCGCCTTATCCACATGCTTCATAATGATGACCCAGAGGAAATGTTTAAGGTAACGATAAGTGTGTTCAGAGTCAAATTGAATTTCACTGGTGTTTTACTATTAAGTGCTTCATATAACATGCGACTCATTGACCTTCAGATAATATGTACCGTAAAGAAGCATATTATGAGTGGAGGACCAAGGCGCTTACCTTTTACAGTTCCTTCCCTGATATTTTCTGCACTTAGGGTATCTTTCTTCACTGATGGTGCTATTCTTTCAATTTGTTTTATCTCTGCGATCTTTAACTTGTTTCTTGAGTTCAATTCTATATGATGGTAGTTTGAAAATTATTTGAATTGTTTCTGGTCCATATTCCATAATAAAGCCACCAATGGTTGTACAAGGATCGTATGAACCATGTACAGCAGAGCTTCAAGACTAAGTATATATGTGAAATACGCTCGTGAAGTATTTCTGTATACATTTACAATAATTGTACTGTGACAATATCTTCAACTTTAGATTATAGTTTTCTAGTTCAATAAGATACATGACAGATGGGGCAACAAGGTCTGAAAATAATTACTTAAATTGCATGCCAAACGGATCTGGGGCTTTCTTTATTGAGATTTGAAAATGACTAAATAGGAATGAATAACACTTCCTTTTGGTTTTTTGAATCATATTTTGCTGCAGTTGATCAGGCAATTGCAAGGGCAGGATGGAGATATAGTGGGAGAAGAAGTTCCTACAACACCAAAAAAAATATTTCAACTTTTAAATGAGGTGATTTAAAAATTTATAATCTTAGTGGAGTGGTGGGGAGAATCATTGTCTCTCTTTATAAATACAAGTGTACAACTCAAATATATTTTTTATTTAACTATCATGGAATAATTTATGTCTGGGTTATCTGACTGCCGTTTAGCATGTATTAAGTCATTTATGATATTTATGTAATGCTTTATGCTCCATATATTGCTACTATCACACGATGGACAAATAATAGTCATTTTGTTACAGACCATTGAAGCTCTTGCTTCTGTATCATCTCCTGAACTGGCCCTGAGACTGTCTCTGCAATGTGCTGGGGTATGCTTGACCCTGCAAACTTGAATTATCTAATTGGTTTCACCTTTGTTTCTCCCTTTACTTCCAAATAGCCGAGAACACCCAGATAAGGGGATTTGCAAAAGAAGTTGAGCTTGAAAACTGATTCTCTGCCACCCAAACATGTCACACTGGACTTGGCTATAATTACACAATCATAAATTTTAATATTTTCCTGACATTGAGTCCGTTTGTTTAAATTTTTTTTCCTATAAAAGTGTTTTTAATAAAATAAGCACTTTTTTTTTTGAACTTGATGTGTTTGTCTAAACTTTTTTTTTTGTTTTTAAATGAACAGTTTTCTAGTTTTTTTTTAAGAAGCAACTCTTCTCTACTTTTTAAAGTACTATTTTTTAAAAGCACTTGTTTAGAGATACTTTTTTTAAAGTTTAAACAAACTAACCCATTATTGTACAACTGTTTCAGTGACTATTTTTCTCACTTTTATTATTATCACCAGGCTGCTAATGACTGTGACCTGGAGCCTGTTGCTTATGAATTTTTCACTCAGGCATTCATATTATATGAAGAAGAAATTGCGGTAATTATTAGTGAAAACAATTCATTTTAACATTTTCTTAATATTCGAAATGGCCTTTACTAATCTGTCTCTGTTTATAATGGTTTTAGGACTCTAAAGCCCAGGTAACTGCAATACATTTAATTATCGGGACTCTTCAGAGAATGCACGTCTTTGGCATTGAGAACAGGGATACATTAACACACAAGGCCACAGGGGTATAGTACTGTTGTTTTCCTTTTTTTTTCGTCCTTTTCTTTTTAAGAGTCTATTAGGATGAGGGATGATGAGGGGGGAGAGGGAAGAAAGTTTATCCTATCTTGTTGCTTCTCAACCCAGTTTTTCTGTCGGGATAAAAAATGCACTGAACAATATGATAGGATAAAATTATGACATCTTGTTGGAGCAACAAAAACTGATTATAACAGGATAGGATAATTATCCTGTCTTGTCCGATCATATCTTGACTAACAAACAGGTCTTTAAAGTAGTAAATAAGGATTATATATAAATATTGCAATTATAATAAATCTTTCCCTTCCCCTTCAGTAATCACTCATAAATTGGAGGATTGGGAAGGAAACCTTTCCATGTCATCCATTTCATTTATATTTTATTCCATCTCTGCCTTCCCAAAACTTAACCATCCCAAGTTGGTTAAAAATTCAGTACAAGCTAGCCATGTGATTAGTTTTCTCAAGAATTTCTATCTATTATGCCAAACCTAACATCATATTCTGTCTTTCCATAGTATTCAGCGAAGCTTTTGAAGAAACCTGATCAGTGTCGAGCAGTTTATGCATGCTCTCATCTCTTTTGGGTTGATGATCAAGATGGTATTAAAGATGGAGAAAGGTATGCTGATAAATCTCAACTAGGTTTAATTGGGATGATTTGATCGGTTTCATGCATTTTTTCAATGCTTACCTATGTTTTCTGAAATAATTATCTCCGTTTTACAATATGGAATCAAGCTTCATGAAGTATTTATGCTGCTGCAACGTAATTTATCAAATGTAATTATATGTTTAGAATTGCATGAATTTCTTTTGGTATATAGAACTTTACTGTATCCTGAAGAGAATCTTCGAACTGTCATATTGTCTTTTTTTGTTTCTTTCTCTCGGGGTGGGGGTGTTGACTGTTTGATTACAGGGTATTGCTTTGCCTTAAGCGTGCTTTGAGGATTGCAAATGCTGCTCAACAAATGGCCAATGTAGCTAGGGGTAGCAGTGGTCCAGTAACGCTATTTGTTGAAATACTGAACAAGTTGGTCACCTTTTGCTTTAAAACTGTTTGTTAAACTATCTTCACGACTTTCTTACTTATGGATGAGTGGGTTTCAGGTACATTTACTATTTTGAGAAAGGAAACCCGCAGATCACTAGTTCTACTATCCAGGGGCTTATAGAATTGATCACGACTGAGATGCAGAGTGACTCTGTAACAGCTCTTCCAGCTTCAGATGCTTTTTTTACTGGCACATTGAGGTACATCCAATTCCAGAAACAGAAGGGTGGTATACTAGGTGAAAAATATGACCCTATCAAGGTCTACATCCCTGCCTAGCATATCCAAGACGCCCAAATGTGAAATTGTACGAAAAATTAAGCATGTAGTTGTGAGTGTTCATCTTCATGAAAAACAACAAAGGTTTCAGTGTTCACTACTTGTGCATTATAAAATGATTGCAAAGTGAATAACTCTAAATCCTCTTGCATCTTCCTACAATTTTTTCTTACTAAACGAAGAAATAATAGAATGTATTTTATATTTTCAATATATTAAATGTATTCACTTTTTCATTTAATACTTTATAGAGAATTGGGAGGATTAGTAGGATATAGTAAGAGGATATAGCATTACTTTTTTAAAGCACAATTGGCATGTGCAGTTGAATGTTTAACGAAAACCGCGTAATTGAATGTTCATTACACGTGCTTTAACATGTTTGCAGTGGCTTCAACGTCACTTGAAAGCACGATTGACATTTGCAGTTAAAATCCACATTATAAACTGATGGGGGGAAGATATTCATTTAGAAAGGTGTCAATATTCATCACAAAGATTGAACAGGCTCTTCGTGCCTTCTTTTGTTTCTTTTTTCTTTGGTGGTCGAAGAATCACTATGATGGCCGTATCAAAGACGCCTTCTACATATGATCATAACTAATACATGAAACTCAATGCTAACTACTCGAAACACTCAAAAAGTATAAATGCTAAAAAAGTTATGGCAATCCTGCTTTTAGACAGGAGCATCAATCAGCTTTGTTGATTCGTCTCCCTTCAAGAGTGAGCAAGTATCCACGTGTAGATCAAATAACTTAAAAATCAGTCCCGTACCCAACATTAAAGTATGAGAATTAGGTAATCTTTGGTTCAAATTTTTTTTAAAATTTTTTTTATAGAAGCTCTTTTTTAGGCTTCTATTCATTAAAAAAAAAAAAAAGTTACGTTTTAAAGGAGGTATTAGAAAGTCCAAATAAAGCTGGCTGAAATGCTACCTTATCATTGCAGAAAAGAATTTAATTATGGTTATTAAAATCCTAGTAAGAACATAGAAGTGCTTCACTCGTCATGCACCATCAAACTACACCCTAGATACAATTCTGAACTGTCATGCATCCATCTCTCTGACAGATCAAACTAGAATTTCCACAAACCAAACTGTACTGATGTAAAACCAATTTATTGCTTCCTCTTTTCTCTATGACCAGGAAGAATTTTTTTTCAGTATAGCGTTCAATCAAATTTCTGTATGAAAATGAAAAGACCAATGACTCAGACACCAGTCAAACCATTTCATGTTGAGTTGGTTTATGAATAAAAGAAATTAAGAATCAGATGTCCTGGACTCCTCGGTTTAAAACAAATACGGAGAATTAAATAGTATTTGATAACATAATCAAAGTGAACCTGAAGCAAATAAAATCCTGAGCCTTTAAATAATCGAAGTTCAAGGCTAAATAAGAAGTTAAGTAAGATAATCAGATAGATTGGTTGACATCCCACAAAGTAAAGACAATCTCGTTGAAATAATTGCTACTTTGACAAAACAAATCGACTTCATGCATATCAATCAGGATCCAATAACCAAGTGCAATCCATCAAGGACGGAGAGCAGCAAAAATTTACTTGGTTCCAGTTCCAAGTATAATTTCCGTAACACTAGGGGCATGATGCCCTAGTTCAGGGAACAATGAAATAGTTACATGAAAACTTAAAGCACTAAAATCTTTATCGGTTATGGTAAGTTCAAAAATAGGTAAATGATCACCATCCTAATTAAATTCATTATATTCCAGGTGTACACCTTCGTAGTAATATCTTCATGGATGGCATTGCTTAGATTAAACAAGTATAAAGATTCGTGTTTGAATTTCTCAAGGGTCTTAATCTATTACTAAGATAAGTATCTCACTAAGATAACCTTGCACGTGAGGCATAAAGCAAAGGGTCCATCCATGAACGCTGGAAATAAATTCTTTAGAGAACATCGTGTAAAAGATTTAAAGAAGGGAAGATTTCAAAAGTGTGGAATTTGAAACGGAACTAGTCACAAAGACAGTGCAACCATGGAGATTCATTCTTCAACAGGTATCAAATACATTTCTGATGTTCTTCAGTACCTGAACTTGATTGAAACCTGTTGAGCCTGGGTCAAATGATGCAAGTGGATGCTCAAAATATACATGTTATCATAAACCATACTCAAATCCTGAAACTTCGGATTTCGGCATGACCAAAAATTTCATATTTTTTTAAACTGATCTGATTGATATTAGATAAAATAACCTTTTGTTACGTGAAATAGATGAGATATTTGACTCCTTCCAATAATTCCTTTTATTTTTACATACATGTTTCACTAGATCCTATTAAACGATCCATTTAATATTTTAGATTTATTTTGGTCAAAAGGAACTTGTTGATCAAAGTGTCATGAGTTTTGAATTATTATCAGAGTGGATGGAATGAAGATGAGAAAAGAACAAAGTTTGATGGTCCAAAAGTATGGTAAAATTCAGAAAGAAATTACAAAAGTTGTAACATTCTACAACAAATAGCCAATTACAGGGTTTGAGTTTTCTCATAAGACTCGTGTATATAAACATAAAAAACAATTTTCGTATAAAAAAACATCTTCTAGGCATGCGCTTAAAAGTTAACTAGGCCTTGCCTCAATTCAAGTTGCAAATCACAAGTAGTCTTTGAATTTCTACATTTACTTGGGAAGCTGCAAATGAATAATTCATCAATGGCCTTCTTAGTCACGCATTTCTTGCTGTAGACTAACCAATTGCTTGTAGATGCTTCCAGGTTTCGCCATCAGCCTCTCATGGCTTCCCATTTCAGCAACCATCCCATTTTGCAGCACTGCAATGCTGTCTGCATCACGAACAGTCGATAGCCTGTGAGCTACCAAAATTGTTGTTCTACCTTCCATAAGTTTATCAAGAGCCTCTTGGACCAGCCTCTCTGAGACTGTGTCTAGCGCACTCGTCGCTTCATCCAACAGAAGAATGGATGGATCTTTAAGAATAGCTCTAGCAATTGCCACTCTTTGTTTTTGTCCTCCTGATAACTGCACCCCTCTCTCACCCACCTCAGTTTTGTACCCTTCTGGCATTCTGCTGATGAATTCATGAGCATTTGCTGCTTTGGCTGCCTTCATTACCTCTATTTCTGATGCCTCCTCTTTTCCATACTTGATGTTTTCATAAACTGTGGTAGAGAACAAAGCAGGTTCTTGCTGAACCAATCCTATTCTCAGTCTTAAGGATCTCAGGTTCAGGCTTCTGATATCACATTCATCAATCAGGACCGACCCAGAATTGGGGTCATAGAATCTCATTACCAAAGCAATCACTGTGCTTTTCCCTGAACCACTTTGCCCCACTACTGCCAGACTCTTACCTGCTGAGACCCTGAGGTTTAATTTCTGAAATATGGTGATATCAGGTCTCATAGGGTACTTGAAGGAAACATTTCTAAACTCTATATCTCCTTTGATATCAGTTACCATCTTTGAGTTGGGGTCATCTGGGGTGATGGCTGTTCTCCTTTGGAGAATGCCGAAAACTGATCCCAGTGCTTGTGATCCCTTCACAATGTCTGGGGTAAGAGCCAGTGTTTCTGCTATTGCCAGAGAAGTGATAATTAATACCATGAAGGACTTCATGATGTCTCCAAAATTTGACTCTTTCTTCTTGATTAAAACTGATGCATACCAAAGGCCAAGTGCATAGGAACAGAAAGCCAACAGCTGTGTTATGCCGTAGCCAAAACCTGATATGTGGCCCCGTAGAAGTGCTTGTTTGTTAGGTTTGTTCAATTCAGATGCAAACTGGATTGAGATTCGATCTTCTGCACCAAAAGCAGCAACAGTACGTATGTTGGCAATAGCTTCACGAGCCAAAGAAGTTGCTTTAGAGTAAGTATGGACATAATCTCCTCCAAACCCCTTCAGAAATAGTTGCTGCATAAATAATTTGAACTTAGCTAGTCTGTTGGTTATACACTAAAAAATGATACACGAATCATGCACTAAAACATGCAGCATAAAAGAGAATTGTTAGTGAAGTGGTTTTATGAGATTAACCTCAGTGATAGAAGCTCCTATGAGAAGGGGAAGGCAGGCTACGACCACTGCTGTTAGTTTCCAGCACAATGTGAAGGCAATAACAAAAGCTGTGACAGTGAGAGCTACATTTTGCACAATGGTTGAGAGTCTGTCAGCTAGAGCACTTCTTACTAATGTTGCATCCGCAGCAAGCATGGCTGTTAGTGAGCCAGTGTTGTTCTCATCCATATCAAACCATGCAACTTCATTGTTGAGAATAGCTGCAAATCAAATTAACTGCAATACTTCAGTCATGAAAACATATCAAGAACAGGTCAAAATATGTAGTTAATGGTTTGAGTTTCTCAGGCCACAAAATTTAATGCATGTGATTCTAACAACAATGCTTTGCAGCCAGGGAGTACCTGAAAACATTAATAAACGCACACGGGCAGTGAGGCGCTCTCCCATCAATGTATAAAAGTAGTGCAACAATAGATAAATAGGTATAGTAATGACAGCCACTCCAACAAATATAAAAGCAACCCTATCAACTTCTTGCTTGATTATAGAACCACGAGGAGAATAAAACACAGTCAAAATGTGAGTGATTCCAAGGGCAAAGAGAGGGGCTTCCATTCCAGCCATAACTGCACCTACTGATCCAAGTATTGCATAGGGCCACTCTGGAGCATTCAGTTTCACTAAATCCAGAATTGGAGTGGAAGTAGTAGTGTTTGATGGCAGGTGTTGATCACTTGATTTCTGTTCAAATGTTGTATCCAACTTCAGCTGCTCCTCTAAGGTCATGTAGTTTGAAGGTTCTCTAAAACTAGAACTTCTTGAACTTTCAGAGCGAGATATTGATCTAGAGCCTGTGAGGTTTTGTGATGCCTGCAAACTCACCAGATTCACATACTCGCCATTATGTGACATCAATTCCATATGAGTCCCACTTTCAACCACCTGGCCGTTCTTCAATACAACAATTGTATCTACATCACGTATGGTGGATAGTCTATGAGCAACAACTATTGTTGTTCTGTTTGACATTATTTTTTCCAATGCCCTTTGGACAATGAGCTCTGATTCAGCATCTAGAGCACTTGTGGCCTCATCTAAAAGCAATACTTTTGGGTTTCGGAGCACTGCTCTTGCTATGGCAATTCTTTGCTTTTGGCCCCCTGAAAGTTGGGTGCCACCCTCTCCTACCTGAATTAAAAACAAAGTGTCATTATGTCAAC